GGAACCAAGCAAGTGGTCCAGAGGATGGATGCAAATTTTATTATTCCTTTTCTTTTGGCAAGCTGTGAAAGTTTCTTCGGGATGTTCTGGCATTTAGATTTTGACCCTGCTCAGAGGAAGGTAACCAAAACAATAGCCTCTAGTGTATAGCACCTTGTGGTTCAAAGCAGCCTAGCAATCCTAACTAGATAACTCTTTAGCATGCTCCTGAGACACAGTATCTATCTTGCACTCACAGCCTGAGGACATGCAAAGAGGTTAAGTGACTTGCCTGAAGTCAGAGCAGTGTTGCAGGTGTTATAGAAACTTAAGTCTTTCTGCCTCCTTAAGCATCATCCATAGGTAGAGTTCCAAAGGGCAGAAGGTCACACTGAGCAGCCCACTGTGACTTTGATACTGGATGTCCCGAGCACCTCTGTCTTTAGAATAATTTTTGGCTGCCAAAGCAGAATGACTACCCATTCTTCACCAGAGATCAGTAATGAGGGAGTAACTGTCCTTTCTCAGCTGTTGGGCATCTGGAAGAGAAAGCAAGAGAACATAAGAATGGGAGGTGAGTATTGGTGCTGTGAAAGGCCAAACTATGGAGAGACCACTGAAAAAAAAAGTTAGAATGTTCTTTTAATTGAGGCCAAGAGCTCACAGGAATAGCATAGGTATAAGAGGAGCAGGTGGAATTTAAGTAGAAAACAGAACCTGTTGTTTGTGAATATCTCGTGTTTCTGTCTCTAGCCAGACTGCCATGAGGTAGGGACTGCCAAGCCACGGCACAAACCAGGCAGGTAACGAGGAAGACAGGTATGTAACAGCTCTATCATTCTTTTTTGGACCTTCAAAAAGACTGGTTACATGCAGTCCTCCAGGCAGAGTAGACTAGGAAAGGTGAGTGAGCCCAGCCCAGGAGGTGTGGGAACACACTGCAAGCAGACAGAATGGGCAGCGTTGGAGCTTGGTGTCTGTAAGGACTCCAAAACACCAGCAGAAGCACCTGCAAAAAGAACAAGAGACTGAGTAAACTGGGGGTAGGGAGGTTGAAAGTGAGACAAAGAAACAACACCAGATGGAGCAAGAGAAACCAAGACAAGCAGGGGGAAGGTGGGAAGAGACTTGTTTGGAGAGTTAAGTGTGCATCTGTTTACCTTGCCTCATGGAAAATGCAGAGGTCTTGCTTTGCCTACTCCCCGCCTTCTGGGAGGAGAGATTTGAAATGAGAGGCATGTACTAAAGCACTTACTCCATAGGGCTGGAACGGAGGGGGCCCTGCTGAATCAGGATACACAACCATCCCAGTACAGCTTGTAACAGCTGGAGCCCTGGCATCCATCTGAAAGGAAGGTGGGAGCTGCAGCATGTGGATTTTGGCAGCATCTGCTGCTGTGTGATCTGGCCATAGAAAAGGGAGTCTTCTGAAGTTCCAGAGTTCTATCTTTCCTTCTGTATGGAGTGCTATGGGGAGAGCACGTGGCTGGCCGGGGCACCCTGACACCAGGCCCCCAGTCCCTGTCAGTGCTCGCTGCTCTGTGGGTAATGCCTGACCCAAGGAAAACTGCCCTGGGGTGACTGGGATACAGGGATGGAACTCGGTCGGTCTGATTTGACACACCCACCTCCAGTTGCTGCTACCCCTCTTCTGGAGGGCTTGGGGATGAACTGTGATGGGGAAACTGACTCTGAAGAGTGGAGCTGGGGGGGTCCCAGGTAGCCATGCAAGGCAGGGTGATGGGTGTGCAGCCACAGGAGCTCACACATGGTGTGTGCGTGGGGGGAGTCCAGGTGGCAGGTCTTCTGCTGGGGGCAGGTTCCTGCTGGGCATGGCAGGGTTGCTCAAAAAGGTAAAGCTCCACTGGCAGGGAAGGGATGAACACGTGGGTGTGGCTTGGATGGGATGCATCAGGCTGCTGGTTGGGGTACCTGTTACAGGGCAACAGGGACCTAGTAAGAAGCAATGGGGAAAACTGGGTTAAAGACAGCTTTGAGACCCGTCTGGAGAGATGCAGAGCGAGGAAGGACTCAGAGGTGGCATCCAGAGAGCTCAGCCAAGGGACTCTGTCCCTGTCTGGCTCAGCTCCGATGGGACACAGTCGGGAGACAGCAGCAGCCAGAGCCTGGGAGCGCTGGCCTGGCACTTCTGTGCCTCAGGTTTTTTTTCTCCTCTGCAGCGAGGACTGCCGCAGCCGTGGGCGGCAGAGGGAGGCCGGGCTGGCTGGGTCTGCGGGGCCTACAGCTGAGGTGGGCCCTCCCCCGAGCAGGGCCAGGCCTGACTGGCTCCGCCGAGGCGGCGCAGGGCACCTCCGGATGGCGGGTGGGCCCCGAGAGGTGCGGGAAGTGCCGCAACGCCCAGGGTCGCGGGCCCGCCCTGCGCCGCCGTCCTAGCGGCCAC